TTCCTTGGTGTCTATACTACGTTGGAATTCAGTGCATTTGCACAACTGGATAATGTTGCTTTACTGGTCTGAATGCTTCTGTACTAACTCCTGGTTGGAGTGATTTTTTTGTATGTGTCCCATACAAAGACAGTGGGTTCTCATCTGCTGTTCACATGGAGGCATAATTTTCTAAACAATAAGGCATGTGCTTTAATAACATCCTGTTTATTTTAGTCCTTTAGAGGGAAGTCAAATTTTGACAGTAGGCCCATAACACACATCGCATTGTACTTGTGTAGGCAGAATCCTAGGGTGGCGTTTTGAGACTAAAAGAAGGTTGAGGAATCACGGACTGATTTGGAGGTGGAGCTTGTGGCATTATTTTTTATTTCTCTTCAGAAAATCTTTGGCTCACATTTGTTAAATGTAGAATGTTGCTGTACAGCAAAGTGACAGTCATCTTAATTCCCCCCTGCTAGAGCGTAAATAGGATGCCACTAATTAATACTTTTTCACAACAAAAAGATTTATAATACATTTTAGTTTTAAAACAGATCTATCTTAAGTAGATAGTCTGGACATTTACTAAAACAGTTATAGCAGCCTAATGTTTTAAAATCTTCCAGCTGTAGTATACATGAAGTTGTGATCATTCTGTTAGTATTGTGACTGGTAAGGCCACACACACGCGTACATTATATTTGTAGCTCTAAGCACAAACACAAGCTCTTTTGTAGCAGTTTGAGTCTTTGTAGTGCTACAAAATAGTTATACTTTCAGAGAGGACTTTCTAGGCTTTGTAGTGCTGTGCATAACACAGACTCCCCACAGCCCTCCAAGATGGGGAGTGAGCAGCTGACTTCCCACCAGCCTGCCCAGCTGCAAGCTGTCAGAGCCCTGTTGAGACCCTCCTGCTTCACAGCTGCACCAGCAGATTTTCTAGCTCTCCAGCTTGGGGGATTTGAATGCCTGTATGACCCTATAGTGTCACACTACAAGTGTAGTGCTGAGACCCTTTGTAGTACTACGGACAAACACCTGTCCATACCCTAAGGCACCTAAGATGCAAAAACTCTTAAATAAACGTACAGCTGATACCCCTAAGACTCAAGTATCAATTTTCACATGTCAACAAGCTTCTGATTAATGTACAACCTTGATCCCACTTTATAAATAAGGTGTTCTAGAGAAAAGATTGAGAAATTGTGTTTTGGATAATGTTTAGCTCCACTTTATGAATTGTATTTGGAGGGCTTATATTTTCCGAGAGGTACTATTCTGCTCCTACATTAACCAGACTGCTTGCCCCCACGCCCCAAGTCCTACTCTCCCCACTAATTTTGTTTGACCATCTTACTTTGCGGAAACTTGATAGACAATTGGTTTGTTCTTTGCGGATATGACTAGCTGCTTTTAAACCTACATTTCTGGGTATTGTATGTGCTTTTTTGTAGCAATTGTTCTTGGAGTTGTAACTGCATATTGGACTCCAAAAAATTCTGTAAAATTTAAATAAAATGACTGTTCAGACAGTGCACACTTTATGGTTACTTTGTTTAGAATTACTGCTGTGTGGTTTAGTCTGCTTCCACCCAGTCCAAACAGCAGTAAATCTCTTTCAAGCCAGGAAGGAGGCTGTGGCTTAGCCAACCTCCTGTGCAAGTCATGAGACTTGCTGTACAAAGAAATGAGAGCCAAGAAAGATGGAAAAGCAGAAATCCAATTGACTGGAAAGCATTCATTCAATCCCAAACCCAGTAATTAGTCCTAAAAGTATAAGGTAATTAGCAGCCAGATATACTTGTTTTAAATTGCAGCCTTAACAAAAACAAGTACTACTTCTGACACATAGGGCAGTGTATGTAGTTAGACAAAAGGGCCTTAAACAAGAGCTTGCTATAGTGGCAGCCTCTTTACAAGAGAGCAGATGCTGATCTCCCCAAGCAAAATGTAGATCTGCAACATTGCTTGGTAGAGTTGCTGACTTCAGAAATGCCCAATAGCTGTGTTTTTACCTTCAGCAAAGACATTTCTCAAAGATTACAATAACAGATTGTTAGAACAGTTGGCAAACAACATAGACAGGCATAACCTGAGGAAAGCTCAAGGAGCAAAATGAGAAACCAAATTGTGACTTTCAACCAGGGTGCCACATAGTATTAGCACTATGGAGGTGTGCAAACACCTACACAGGATTCACAAGGTAAACCCAGAGATTTCAGATTGGCTGTGACATTATGGATTCCTTTCTGACCTGTTGTGGTCTTTGAGTTCTTGGGAACTGAAGAATTGCTCTATTATTCTTTCATAGTTGAAATGAATGATAGCTAACAGACAGCTGGCATTTTCTGAGGGGCACCTGGAGTCTAACAAGGTTGAGAACCACTACTATAAAGTATGAAGGTTCAAAAGTCACAAAGCCACCATTTTAGTAGGTAAGTGAAACTAGACTTGGGGATGGGCCGGCATGATCCAAAACACTAATTAAGGTTCTTTGATTATAATCACTTGAAGCTGCTTACAAAACAGACTTAATGCAAGAGCAGAGGAGGGCACTGAAGCTTGGACTTCTACATCCTGGGCAAGCTCTTGAAAAGGACGCTGCCACCAAAACTTTTGCAACTCTTGTTTTGTTGCAACAATAAAAGAAAATAAATGCTAGAGAAAAACAAGTAACTTCAAGTTTGAACTGAACAGTGTTGCAGCCAACCAGAAGGTCACTTAGCTGCACAGCTGTAGTTGACTAACAACACTGTAGTCATTTCCCATACAAAAGACAAGGGATAGCAAGATCTAGTCTGCTGATCTAAGAGGCTGTATGATTCTGTATGTCGCAAGCTGTTCCTCAGAACAGCTCATCTACCAGGTGTTCACCGTATCTCTTCTGGTGATCTGCCAGCAATTTGGAATTTGCTGCAAATGACCCATAAGCATAATTTGAAACATATTTCTTAAATACCAGTGCTGGGGATCCTTTTCAGACATGGCCTTGATTCTGTGGTTCCTTTGGGTTACAGGTTAGATCCTGCCCAGGAAGGTCTAGCTTAGTTTGAGGTAGTAGAGAGGATTAGGTGTTATACACCTATGCTGAGCTACCTGTCCCTTTCACAGCCCTCCTTACTGCAGCCAAGTATCTGCAGGAAGGGAAGCACAGTCAGTTTGAGCTCTCTGGGGACAGAAATTAGTAGCTAGGTTGTAAGCTCTAGCCTGGAGTATTAAGTTGTTACTACTGCTTTCGATTCATGGATTCATATCTGCTTTCTAATTCCATTAATCTCTAGAGTTCTCAAGCAGGACTCGCAGCCAGAACAACCATGGTGGCTCTGGTAAGACTCTGAACTCCACAACCACTTACCTTTGCAAGCAGAGATGATATTGCAGATGTCCTGGCCAAATTCTTTATCCCAGTCCACGTGGCCCCTGCACTTCAGGTCGTTCGTGGCAATTGGTTGATGTCAATAAACATCTTCACATTAGGTGTAAAATTTCCACCAGACAATTGATCTGCTAAATAGAAATATTTACAATCTGAATGCAGAAGTGCCAGTTACCGTCTTAATTCATAACATCTGGAAGTTATGCCATGTGGGAATCTGGGAAGCAGCTGTAGAACAAACCAATGCAGTTCTGCAGAGGTGATCCCACTCTTTGGGGCCCAGGGGAGGTGCTGGCCTCTCTCTTCTAGTAACAGGCTAAAGCTGTGACTGTGAAGGTGACAGTCAAGCAGGAGCTCTCAGCTAGGGGAAGCTAGCCCCTTCTGCAATTTCTTGGGAAAGGAAGGCCACACTCCAGGAGGTCCATCCCAAAAAGGAAGTGTGTGGCCAGAGGCTGGGGGAGCTGGTTCTGCATGACATTGGCTGGATTCTTCCTGTGGCAGGGACCTGGTCGATCTGCAGAGGAGCACAGATGCAGTCGCCCTGCAAAGGGAGCTGGGGAGAGGTGCAACCAGCAGTGCCTGCTAAATCAGCTGAGGGCCTGATCCTAGCCTCTGTCCTGGCACTCAGTTCCATTTTGGACTTACAGAAGAGCCAAGCCACTAGTTGATTCTGCAGTTCTAGCCCTTGCTGGCAGGGGAAGAGGCAGTAAGCAAGGCTCTTTTCATAGCCAGCAGCTAGGGAGCTCCATGTGCTCGCTGTGCTGTCCTCTGTGCAGTTATTTTCTCTGGCAAAGGCTTCTGTGAAAGCTGCTATTACCTGCTTCCTCACTTAAAATGCACATAGCCCTAATTACCAGTAGCTGATGTTGGGGGAAACTGTCACACACCTAATATGTTCCCATCTTGCATGTGGACTGTACTCCAATGAAATTTTAATCTTACAATGGTTCTTGAAGGTAGATTACATCCCCCACTCCCATTGCTACGGACTCTGGTAACATCATGATTCTGTAAGGGCCTGGGTGTGCCCCCACACCACTGGTAACCAAGAGAACTCAGACTAAAATGCACTCCCACACACCAGTGCAAAATATATTTTGACCACATATTCCAAACCCCCACAAAGCCCCTCAAGTTATTGCTGTGTAAGTCACCACCCCGGCCTCTTTCCCCAAGCTCC